CCGCAAGAGAAAACGCAAAGAGAACTAACATCCCGTCGGTTTGGTGCAATTCTTTTTTTGTTTTAATTTTTTAATGTCGATTTTGGCTTCGCCTTAAAACCACAACACTCTTAAATAAAATGCAATTAAATTGTCCCGTCCTACTTTAACACAACAAATTTAGTAATTATTATTATTATTATTTATTTTTTGTCACAACCTAGATTTTATTTACAAGTTTAGCTAGCTAACCAGCTTTACAAAAAATATGGAGGATACAAAACTAGTTATTACCTATCTTGTGTATATCACTATTAAATGTTTGTCAACTAAGAAAGGGAAGTGCAAAAAATATATAATTTATTTAAAAAATGAATATGAAGTCAAATTTTCGATAGTGGTCAACAATAGAGATAGATCCTCGTAAGGTAATACCTAAATATTTTCTTTAACTTTTTTGATGGTCATCTTTTTCTCTTTTTTGATGCCTTATTAGATGACAATTGGATAATTTTCATGAATTATGTTAATCACAGATTTTAACTGTCATTGAAGGCCAACTTTCTACTAGTAAAAGTAAAATAAAAATGTGAGTATTCAAATCTATATCTTGTAAACAATAATGTGATTTTATTTAGACAATTCCAAACCCCAAATCCCAAACTCTCAAAGTTCACATTAATTGGGACTGAACCAGAAACTATAGAAAAAATTACAACGACCAACTTTTGCATATATAGATCTATTGAACCATTTGTTATTTTCAGTTTGTTTATGCAAGGATATCCACAACAGTGTATTTCAGACTGCAGCTCGAACCCGGCCTCCGGACCCCTCTGAATACTTGGGCGGACCTGCACAAAAAGGTGAGCACTCCGACGATCAAGTCAGTATAGGTCGGATTCCCAGTTTAGTTCGAGGTCAGAAATCATCGTCGTACCTGATCGCGAAGTGAGGTCCTCTACTTATGGGTGGTAGTCCCGCTAATCTCGCGACGGTTACACCCGATAATCTCGGGACCGACTGTTACACCCGATAATCACGCCGCTGACAGTAGCTCACATCGGCCCCCACCGAGCTTCTCGGTAGGTCGGACCTCGGCCAGGTTCACCTCAGCCCTCATACTTAGCATCTGTCAACGCTAGTGGTGGTGATCTCGGCGGCCCGAGCTGGGGCATGACTCATGGGTCACCTTGGGGCACCAATGGCTGTCCTCCACGTGTCCTGGGTATTCTTTCCCCCAAACATTGGCCCCCTCTCTGTCTGGTCCGATCTCGACCTGGCAGAGAAGTTCATTTGATTTTCTTTGGGCACGTGGCGACTCCCTATTCGTGGGAAAACATAACCGTTGCGGTGGATTTATCATCGGAATATTCAAATATTCCGACGCTTCGGATCTCCGGAAGGATCCTAGCCGCTCGTTGATTACACATGTACGGTGGGGAAATTTTTCTGACGGACTATAAATGGCCCCAATCCTTTAGGTCATACCTTACGTTCCTTGAATTCTTGGAGTTCGATCTGAAGGCAGCTCGAACCCTTGGTAGGTAGGTCTCTTCCCTCACTTTCTCTTTCGAACGTAGTTTCCATGTCGTCCTCTTGTAGCAGCAACTTAGGATCCGATGAGGATTTAGCTCGTAGGTTAGAGTCCGAGCTTCAGGAGATAGAAAACTTCAGGCTCTCCAATGACGGGGAGGATAGTGATGCCTCCACCTCGGGTCAGGGTTTGGAATACCCCTCTAGGATACCTGAGCACTACCTCGGATCCCTTCGTAGGGGGTTCGCTATCCCTGAGAACATCCTCCTTAGGATTCCGGAGGAGAGGGAGAGAGCTGACAATCCTTTAGAGGGATGGGTCACTCTCTACTTCAAAATGTTTGAGTACGGCCTCAAACTTCCCCTTCACCCTTTTGTCCAAGAATTTCTCTTCTGGACTGGGTTGGCTCCGGCTCAAGTGGCCCCCAATGGGTGGGGTGTCATTTT